CCCGCAGCAGCCCCGCCGGAGGCCCGCTCGGCCCGGGCAGCAGCAGCAGCAGGACGACCGGGGCCAGGAGGCGGAGGAGAGCGCCGCGGCGGCGCGGGGTCGTCATCGTCCCCGACCGCTCTCTCAGCGCGCGGGAGCCGCCGGGCCCGCCGCCCCCGCTCCCGGGGGGACCATGGGCGCGGTGGAGAACCAAGAAGAGACGACCGAGACCGGCCTGGGGCCCTGCCGCGGCAGGTGGCAGAGGCGACAGCAGCAGCAGCTGTCGGGAGAACCGGAAGTTCGTACATCTCAGCGGCCACTGCTGCTACGGACGCTTTCGGTTGCCAACCTGCTGGGGCGGGGCGCGCTCAGTGACGTCACGGCCGGCCGGCGCGCACGCGCCCTGGAGGGCGGCGCCGACCCGCTGGCTGAGCCGGGCGTGGCAGTGAGTGGGCTGTGCTGGCCACGCGGAGGTCGGGACTGGGTGAAGCGCGAGGCTGCTCCTGCGTGCAGCAACCGGGAGAGACGGCAGGAAGTTCAGAACTAGAACTCCTCGGTGCAACACTGCAAAAAACACATCTACCGTAGTCAGTACATCCCTCAGCTTGCTTACACATTTTTTTTAATACTTTATTAAATCATGACTGTGTACATGAATGCATTTAGGGGTACAATGTGCCGATTTGATGTATAATGTGGAATGCTTACATCTAACATAACCATCTCCTCGCTTACTTATTTGTTGTGGCAAGACATTTTAAACAACTTTTTTTCCTGACTCTAGACCTTAACCTCCCTTTCTTTACAACGTGTACCTTAAAAATTTGTAATTATAAATGACTTCTTGTCCCTTCGAGATATAAACCTTTTTAAAAACTTTTTGCCGCCAGTTTTAGATCACATCTCTAAACTGCTACTTTTCCTCTGGGTAAAGTCAGTTAGCAAACAAATGTGGCTTATGGCCCTCCCACCCCCAGCTCTTAAAATCTTTACAGCCCGTGGCTACTTTTAGAGGTGTTGAGCTCTGAGAGAATTGGGATAGTTGTGAGTAAAGTCTTTGCCAATTTACCTCGGACTTCAGTAACAGGAAACACCAGTTAAATAGACATTTACCTTACACACATAAAGAAATTTTAAAAATAAAGAAAAATTAAAATTAGAAACATAAAAATTAAAAATAGAAATTACCAAACAAGAAACGTCTGATCAGAAGAAGTTAGCTTACGTCATTTTATTTAAAACTTATTTATTCAACATATCATCTTTGTTTACTACTGATAAATCTTGAGTATTGGACAGTAAACAAATAGACTTGGTTCTTGCCCTCATGGAACTTAGGTTCAACAATGATTATCACATGAATTTCACATTCTTCAGCCCCTACCTACATTTAAAAAATGTTAAAAATTACATTATGATTATGTTGGTATGAAGATTAATATAATCATATTATTTATTCATTTTTCTTTCATCATTATTATATGTATTAACTCTTTTGATTACAAAATAAATTAAAATTAACGCATTTTCATGGGTCCCTAAAAATATTGTAGACTTAGATTCTATGTCTATTGTCATTAATGGACAAGTCAGCCTGGTTTATGACGCTGTGGAGTTTCATGCTTTAGGGATAATAATTAATTTTAACTAACCCCCACTGATGGACATTCATGTTGTTTCTAAACCTTTTGATAACTATTTCCTACTAAATGGAGTTAACTTTGCTAACCACAGGTTAGGAAAAAAGAAGCAACCAAAAATAATATTTACATAACAATTTAGAATACCACCTTCTGTACTAAACATTAGTACATTTATTATTTTATTTCCCTTCATTATTTTAGTTGGTGGTAAACCAGATAGCAAGCTGGCCATCAAAAATATAAATTAGTCCTTAATTTTGTTTTTCTGTGTCTCTCCATACATTATCTTCTTTTCTTTATTTTCTCCTTCTTTCATACTGATAAATTTTCTCATTCCTTTACACTTGTTTTTCATTTCCCATCTGTTGTTTTAAGTGTGTCATAAAATCTACTGTAAACATTTTGGTAAACTTCAAAGATTAAGAAATGACAGGTATTTATCTCCAAATGGTTAATGTTTGAAAAGTGCCCACGAAGAATTTCCTTCTGCTTCATACAGATAGAAATAGCTGAACCCCAAAATTAATCTAGAACTTGATGATGTGAATGTTTTCTCAGATTTTTATGGACCTGGATTCTCACAAGTGTACCATGGCTTTCTTTTTATCCTATATCCTATTATGTATTTGAATCTCTTAATGAAATTAGCACTTAGGTACACATAGTGGCATTGATACTGGAGTTCTCACAGACTTAGTTCAGTATGGCTTCTCTAAATGAGATATTTATCAAGCTGCTTTTAGGTTTGAACACCAGGGATTGAACTAAACAGAAGCCAGGAGATTCAGATAAATACATATAAAATTAACTGAAGAGTAATGACCTCCCTGAAAATAGAAGGTAGTTACTTTTAGTAATTTTTTTTATACAGGAAGACAAGTGTATTTTGATTTTTTTAAATAAAGCAGAAATTCTTTTGTTGTTGTTGTTGTTATTGCAGTTTTTGGCTGGGGACAGGTTTGAACCCACCAGCTCCAGTATATGGGGCCAGCGCCCTACTCCTTGTGCCACAGGCACTGCCCCAGAAATTTATTTTTTTGTGTGTAAAAATAACTTCAGTTCACAAATAAAATACATAAAAATAAGAAAAACCATGCAGTTAGCACTGCAGGCCAAATTGCTTGCAGTATATCTGTAAGCTGTGGAATGCCATGGCAGGGCATTTAAGACTTCTTTATAAGCTCTTTGAAGGCAGAAGCTTGTAAGTGCCATTGATATGCAACAAAAGTGCCTCAGGCATGGCTGGTGTTCAATAGTATCTTATTAGTTTATAGGATGAATAAGATACAGGATTTCCAGTTTTGAATTTAAAAAATCATCAAAATATGCTCACTCATCACAATTCTCTGAGAGATGAAAAGATAAAAGGTATGCTAATTCTTCTGGTTAATCAAATGTCCTGCTTTTAAAAATTGACACTAAATAGACTTTTGTATATTTGTAAAAACATTCAGAACTATATTGGCTGGTGGATCAAATGTAATGCCTTTAATTTTATAGAAGAGAAAACGGATGTCCAAAGATTATATGAATTTTCTGTTATACATAAAGCAACTTAAATGCATGAGAAAACTCATATTTCCTAATTTTTTAAACTGGACCCTTTCAGACTGCAGTTTTCTTATCTGACACTAATAGTACTGATACAGGACAAGTGATATCCCAGCCAGCCTATGGAGCTGCAGGGTATAGACCAGCTGCCTCTGCCTTGGCAATGTTGGTGCAGTGGCAGCAAGCAGCAGAACCAGCAGGCTGGACAGTGGGCAGGGGGGTCCCCATTTCCTAGGCCTGGGAATAAAAGGGGTTGTAGCCATTCATTTACAACCCAGACCAGTTGTTCCAGACATATCCCAGACAGATGTCCCAGACAAGCTAAATGTAACTACCTAGCCCAGCTAAATGTAACTACTGAGGGCCAGACATGTCCCAGACTGCTAAATGTAACTAGGAAGAAGCTGGGCTAAATGTTACTGAGGGCCCCATGGACTATATAGACCCCTAGACAAAGCGCCTACAGACAGACAGACAGACAGGGAGAGAGACACTTTTCTCTCCTTACTGGAGTTTTATCTCCCTGCCAGGAACTCTGGCATTTATGTGTACTTTTTGGTAAATAAATCTTGTCTTATTACTGATCTGTGGTCCCTGGATTCATTCTTCAAATCACTGAGACCAAGAACTACTGAAAAGCAAAATTTCAATTATCAATACCTCAACAAACATCTGTAAGCCTTCATATTATTACAAAGACAACTCTTGTAAGTAAAAGTTAAAAATTAAACTAATTGGATTGTTTTATAATTTTATTTATAGTATAGAGATAATATAACTAGATATTTATAGGTTTGTCTATCTGTCTACTTACCTATTTCTTGGCTTTTCTCTTATAAACTACATATATAGAAATTTGTTTCCTATTTTTATTTTTCTTTAATAAACAAAGTTTAGATCTTAATTTACATTTATTATATAACTTTTTGCCTTTTTCATCCTAATAGATTTTACATTCCACGTATAGTAGGCTTTTTTTTTTTACAGGTTTCTTGTTATTTATCAGTTTTGCTAAAATAAGAATATTTTATTCTCTTCTGTAATTTGAATATTTTTGAGGCATTTTTTTCCCTAATAATGGTCTGAATTTTTAGAAAACACATGTATGGCTATAAACTTTGAGAAATGTGATGCTTTTATGACTTCTCATATAATCAGTTTTTCCATCTGGGAAATCTTTGAGCTCTATTCTGTATTACAAATGCTCCTGAATTCTATAATGGGATTTTTGCAAATGTCATTGTCACGTTGTAATTTATAAAAAGTTTTTATGATTATTTTCACTCATATAGTAGCCTCAGAACCTAAAACTTTATATATGGATGTAGAAAATTTATTTTGTATCATACTGTGGTTGTGAATCAAAAATTTCAACCTGAGCTTTTATGTTCAAAAAATTCTAGATCAGGGGTGCCATATCCTTTGTCTTCTCTGGGCCCCATTGGAAGGAGAAGAACGTGTCTTGGGCCACACATTAAATACACAAACACTAATGAAAGTTGCTAGCATAAAGGAAACAAAAAACACAACAGCCTATGTATAGTTTTCAAGATATCAGCCACCACAGATAAGCAAAAAGAGCAAAAAAAGTCCTCGCGTAATAGTGCTAATTATGCATGCTGTGGCCCATTCAGAGAGTCTTTTAAAATCATGGAGCAGAGGCGGTGCCTGTGGCTCTGTGAGTAGGTTGCCCACCCCATATACCGAGGGTGGCGGGTTTGAACCCATCCCCAGCCAAACTACAACAAAAAAAATAGCTGGGCCTTGTGAAGGGTGCCTGTAGTCCCAGCTACTCAGAAGGCTGAGGCAAGAGAATCAAATCGCCTAAGCCCAAGAGCTGGAGATTGCTGTGATCTGTGAGACCAAAGCACTCTACTGAGGGCAACAGAGTGAGACTCTGTCTCTAAAAAATAAAATAAAATATAAAATAAAA